TCCAAGCTTCATGGGAGGTCTACGATTGAGTGATAAGTGGGATGAGAGACGGTGTGAGGGTGCCAACGAGGGCACAAACAATCAGTTTATCTTGGCGAAGCCATGTTTGGTATGCTGGATTGGGAGCGGTGACATTATTTGCAGTAGTTGTAGCAGGAGGAGCAGGATGAGAGCCATCAATGAATTTTTGAAGATCGTAACCAATTAAAATTGCTTCCATCTGTAGTGTCCAGGAGAGATAATTAGTGGAGGTGAGTTTTACTGAATTGTTAGTGTTGATAACGATAAGAGGTTTGGTGGGTTCCTATGTATTTGGAATTGTGGCTTGATTATTTTCGTTGGCCATAGTTGGGGCCAAAAATTCGAATTTTGCAATTCAAGGAGGAGAGAGCTCTGATATCATAAAAGGTTTAAAGAATGAGAAAATTATGGCATAGCTTTTTCATGTAGTAAAATCATATACATATAGTGTATAACTGAAATCCTATTCTAAATAAGTCAAAGTTACAATAAAGAAACTAAATAACAATTAGGATACTACCTATTCTAAGTATGTCATATTTTACAATAAAGAAACTAAAGAACAATCAAACTAAAATGAATCTGAGATTATTGATTTTCTCTATTACATAGTACAGTAATGGAGATTAAGTTACTATCTCCTTCGACCCAAAATAGATGGGCACTTTGGAAAATGATTCTTCCAATGTTTCCATTTATTTTGGGATGTAAGGAATACTAACTTGATTTACATAATATTGTGACGATGATAATCAAATGTGAGTCACAATTCTCAAAGTGTCCATCTATTCTGGAAGGGATGGAATAATAACTTGATCTGCAATGTATTGTGACACTGAGAATCTTACTTTTTACGGGCCATTGAACAAAGTAATCCGCGGAACAAGATTGTTCACATGTGAACCGAACTTATCTTGTCATAATAAAAATAAAACTGAAATTATCTGATTTTTTTAAAAATTATGAGGTTAAATTTTTTATTTTTTTTTATTTTTTTAAATTAGTTCACATATGAACTGGACTTACCAAATATTTGTTCTGTCATTTTTTTGAGATCCACCCACGTGATAAAAAAAAAAATAATAAAAGGTGTGGTGTGGAATAATTCGGTCGACCACATGAACTCTGGACTTTACAAAAATGTTCATTGTTTGTTTCTCTTTTTTAATTGGCTCACATGTAGAGTTCATGGGTTGGTGTGCCTTTTTAATGTTTTATCACGAGAAAACAATATAACTCGAGACTCGAGTAATTGTGCAAATATATATATATATATACACACACACACAATATAAGAATACATATTGACATGTCATGTGTTTTCTTATGAAAAAACATGATAACTCAATCCTGTTAATACACTATAATATTAGAGAACGAGACGAATGAGAAAATCTTGTGCATGTGCAATTTTGGTGCACAATAAGGAGTCCAACCTGGGTCATACCAAGTTCCAAAAGTATGATTTGGTAGGTAAGATTTGAAAGAATAAAAAAATAAAATCATTTATCGAGACGGATTATTTTTTTAATTATTTATCTGATAGTGATTGGAGAATTATGAATTAGTAAGGTTAGGAGAGGGGATCCCAATATAAAATTATAGGGTGAGGACACTTTAAGTCTGACCCTTTATTGCTAGGGCAATACCAACGACGCACCTAAATTGATATATTATGAATTTCAATTTTATTGCATATTTAGGCCTATTAATTAATTTTATTTGTTAAAGTGAAACAATTATAATAATTGAGACTTGAATTGTTTGTTTTACTTTAATCAATAGCTCAAATTAGCTCAAATTAGTCGGCCTTGGTTAACTACTTTTTTTCTCTCTCCTTCTTCTTCCTTTTTTTTTTTTTTTTTGTAAAAAAAAAAATAAACACTAATATTTGCCTTGTTTTGAAGCAAAAGAATAATCCAAAACAATATCATTTCATAAATTTAATTCTAAATATTAGGCTGATCAATCGTAAAATAATAGAACTCAAAATCACTTTATCAATATATATATATATATATATATATATATATATATATTCGTATTATTGTAAAATAAATGTTCTTGTATTCTTCAAAATATGTCCAAAATGAGTGTCCTTGGATGCATAAAATATATGGGTATCTTCTGACTCTCGTCTGTCTTTCAATCCTTTATTTAAGTCCGGAAATTTTATTTTATTTTATTTATTATTATTTTAATATTATTTTTTTAAGTCGGGCAATATTGATACTTACTTTCTTCATCGAAATTTATTCGCAAAAAACAAACATTCATGCACCTAAATGTTAGAAAATCAAAATATTCTGAGTTTTAACAATTTCCAAAAAATTGATGCTTTATGTTTATTAGTACAAAGGTTGTATGTGCAATATTATATTAAGATATTCAATGATACGGATTACTACTAATTAATTGTTTTGGGAGTTGTCCTAGTTAATTAGATTATAATTCTGAGTTTTGACAATTCCCAAAAAATTGATGCTTTATGTTTATTAGTCCAAAGGTTGTATGTACAATATTATACTAAGATATTCAATGATACGGATTACTACTAATTAATTGTTTTGGGAGTTGTCACTATTACTTAATTAGATTATAAATTGATGTTAATGTTACATTTGGGAGAACTGAATAAACGGTTTGAATTTAGAATTAAAAGAAATTTATGTTTTGTTGGGTGGGAAAGAAAAAAATTAAATGGAATGGAGAAAATAAGGGATGGATGAGACATCCGTGGAGAAAAAATTGTGGGATTCTAATCTTTTTATTTTTTTATTTTTTATTTTATTGGATGAGACATCCGTGGAGAAAAAATTATTATGTTCGTTATGAAATAAGGAAGATATAGTTATAAATTATTTTTACCATTATATCTAGTAATATCTATAATATTTTAATTCATTTAGGATAATATTTAATTTATAACTTTTATAATGGTCTACTTTTCTTCCCCCTCCCTTTTGCCCATTTTTTAACGGATAAAAAATTATATAGAAGTCCTATTATTCTTTTTTTTTTCTTGTTTCATCTCAATCGGTCAAAGGAAGTTAATTTGTTCATTTTTTCCTATTTTCTTTCTACACCTCTTCCTTCCTTCCTACCAAACAAATCATAGTTAAAAAATTGAACTAAGTTTTTTCCAATTAATTACAAATCTATATTGTTGGTTTGGGATTGCTTCTCAACCGTTAAAAAGCACTTTGGTTATAAAAAACTTTGGTACAAATTTCGCATTTACTTGAAGCCGGAAATCATAGTTTTTGAAATTGTATTTTATGCCAAGGTAGTAAACTACTTTTTTTAATGATAATTTAATCCCTCTCTTTTACAATTTTGTCCCTTACTCATCTGTGTTTTCATCATAGCTAATAAGCCACACTATAGCCTGCGTAAAATGAAAATTTCAATTGATAAATCCTATTTCTGTTGTTGTAATGATGTATATACTCACAGTAATATCATGCAACATTGTTAATAGTGCATGTCTAATATAAGAAATTAGTAATAAAAATATTTTAAACAAAATTGTTACCAAACAAATTTAGACGTGTTTCAAGTATAAAAGTATTTTATACAATGCATCACCAAATACACAATATGCTTTTTACTAGCTGCAATTTTGTGACAACTATTTTGTTAAAATCGCTTTGTCATACTAACATCAATTTCAAATAGAGTCTAAGCCACTAATTTGATATTTCCAAATATATTGTCTTGATTTTAAAACACCTATTTCTTTCTTTTATTTGAAAACTTTTGCTAACAAATTTTCACATCATTTACGACTTCAGCATCCCACTAAGTAAAATTTACTCAACCACCACTAAATTCTAATTTTCTAGTGTATGCTTTTGTAAGATCATGTCAATCTCCTCTCTTTTCAAATTTTTTTTTTTTTTTTTTTAATTTTTTTATCCTTTTTTGTGTTTTTGTGTTTTTTTTTTTTATATTAACCCGGAGTGTCCGAGATGGCACGAACCCTTAAGGCCTCTTAATAACCCGACTAATTCACGAGGACCCGGAAAAGCACCTCCCCACTTAGGCCAAGTAAGTCATTGTAAGGGCAGCGGAGGCTAATCACAAAGAACATTCAGTAGAACTCGAACCCCAAACCTTAGACTTGCTAAGCTTCAAAATCTGAGTAAACCGCTACACTATTAGAAGTGGATTTCCCCTTTTTTTGTGTTTGATTAGTATCAATCTTCTAATTTTTTATGCATTTATGTTGCTGAATAGTTTGGTAATGGATTTATGCATTTTGGTCAAATCGTCAGTAAGCAAAATATTAAAAGCTCAAATATATATACATCTAATTACCAACCTATTTTGGGGCTGATATGCCTAGTTCTAGTTGATGAGAAAGTTGAACATAGGTTTAAACCGGCCACATGAGATGTATACGTGTGTGTGTGTGTGTGTTTTTTTTTTTTTTTTTTTTTTGGGTTTTATTCATGGAATGCTCATGTGACCCACGTTAGAGAGACGAAAAAAAAAAAAATTTGAATTTGTTTATGATTCCATGTGCTATATATATACCCATGCCATCTCTCTTTCATTATCAAACCAACTGTTCTTTGTTTTCTAAGTAGCTAATGTTCATTTTGTTCCCTTCATCTCTGTGATAGACAACTCTCTCTCATCTCTTCTTTTTTTTGGTACGTATATACCATCTTTTTGGCCATTAATTACATCTGCATGCAACCTTTTTCCCTTTTCTAGCTACTTCTGTTTTATTCTTCTCTATTGATCCTCTATGTAATTGTTCTTTCATATTCACGTATGAAGAGAAAAAGAAAATTACTTCTCCACGTACTATTATTGAGTGTAATTTGTTCTGTTCTATTGTTAGTTAATGATGTCTTTCTACTTTTTCTTCAATTGTATACTTGCACACATATAAAACATATATATTGCCTTTTGATCTAATATCACTTTCTCATGCAAATTTGTTGTACTACACTTGGTGTCTAGACTCGATGGCGAATGAGGAGCCGGTTACTTTCGGGCCATATGGTGGTTCAGGAGGGGAAAAATGGGATGATGGAATCTACAGCACCGTAACGGAATTAGTTATATACTCCGGAGATATAATTAATTCTATCCAAATCGTCTATGATACTATTGAAGGAAAGCCAGTATCAAAAACAAGACGTGGTGGCGACGGTGGATTTCCAAACAGCGTAATATACATCAACCAATTTAATTTTTAAATTTGCTACTCATGCACATATTTATATGATTCTATATTTGTCATGCCTCTCATGTTTTGTAAAAACTAACTAGCTAGACAATATAACGTCTCACTGTTTAAACAAATCTTATATCAATTAGTGAAATCCTGTGTCAGTTCTTGTGGTATAAACTTTAGGGAATTGTGAACCTAATCAAATATTCCCTGGACCTTTTACAATAAAATAATATATTTAAACATCACAACTATTTCAATTTATTAATTATTGCTACTACAATTTTATTTTTTATTATTTTTTTTTTTGCAATTATTGCTACTGCAATTGATTATTCTAATTGTACGTTGAACATACATGTTGATGTACTATCTTAAAGATTAGATTCAAATCATATTATATAAATTGGAACGGAGCCTTTGTAGGCTCTGGGGGCACCAGCTCCCCGGCCCGGCCCGGTCTAGTACATTTTGTATTACTTTTATTTATTTATTATTAATTTACATATTCATAAAGGAAAAAAAAATCATATTGCCTTCCTAAAATTTTCAATTGCTAAAAATATCTTCCTTTTTTTTACTATCCAAGTTCCTTTAATTCCCTTAGAAAAGTTATGATCCCCTTCTACAATCAAACCATTTTTTTTTTTTTTTCAAAGTTTTCTCATTTTATTAATTTTTTTTTTCTTTTCTTAAACTTCTTCTTTTTGTGGCACGAATAATGATATACTATTTGAATCTTGACCAATGCACCGTTACTACACTTTTAAATGTCATGTTTATTGAAAAAGAAAATTTACTCTATCATATTGAATCTCTCTTATTTTTATTGTGTTCGTGGTTTTCCAGTGTTTGTCGTAATACCTAAGTTTATTCTTGTTAATTGAAATCGTACAGGTGAAATTCGAGTATCCTGCCGAGTACCTTGTTTCGATATCAGGGTGCCACGGTTCTGGATCTCCTATTGTGAACTCTCTTACATTCCATAGCAATATAAAGCAATATGGACCATATGGTAAGGAAGAAGGAATTCGTTTTGAATCCCGGTTAGCTGCTGGTAAGATTGTTGGATTCTTTGGAAATAAGGGCAATGTTTTGGATTCAATTGGAGTGTACATTAAGCCAATCCAGACAGCAATACCTGTTGGTCCATTTGGAACTACAGGTGGACAACAGTGGGATGATAAAACATACAGCACAATAAGAGAATTAATTATATACTCCGGATGGGTAATTGATTCCATCCAAGTTGTCTATGAGGATTTTGAAGGAAATTCAGTATCGGGACAAAAGCATGGAGGTGATGGCGGACAACTAAGCACGGTAATAGATATATGTGTGTGTGTGTGTGCGCGCGCGCTTATGCTATTTGATTTTCAAATCTCCGACTCATGCACAAATTTATTTGATTCTATATTTGCCATGCCTCTCATGTTTTTGTTAAAATTACCTAGCTAGACAGCATAACATCTCACATTTCATTACAGATTATATATACCACATTATGTGTGTGTGTGTTTATATATATATATATATATTAGGAAGAAAGGAAAAAGAGAGAAGAAAATGATTTTAATACTCAAGCTTTTATTTATGCAATTATGAATGCAATACTCAAGCTTTTATTTATGCAAATATGAATACGGTAAATGCATACTTACCTCCTTTTTTTTTTTTTTTTTTTTTTTTTTTTTTTTTTTTTTTTTTTTTACCAATATAACTAATGCAGGTCACATTAGAGTACCCGGATGAATTTTTGGTTTCAATTTGGGGGTACTATGGACAAATAGGTAGCAAGGTTGCTATCCGGTCACTTGGATTTCAAAGCAACAAAAAAACGTATGGACCATTTGGTGTGGAGGATGGAGAGAAATTTGAAATTGCATCCAATGGTGGCAAGATCATTGGATTCCACGGAAGGTCTCGCGAGTGTCTTACTGCAATTGGAGCATATCTCGACAAGTGAAGATATATTGAGATAATCAGTCACCTTTTACTAGTCTTTTAATCATTAATAAATGAGCTACATTTGCACTTAATGCAGTTCAATAAAGAAAGCTATGTGTTGTCCTTAAAGCTCGATGAAAGTGGTTAAGGCAACACAAACTTGGGTCACTTTGTGTGTTTGTGTCATTTCAAGTAATTTTCATGTTTTCTCGTGTGTTAAGCCTTAAAGTTTGGGTTGGTTATGTATTCTGTGCAAATATATTAATTCAGTGATAAGAGGTCATATGTTATCTCTGGTATTCGTTATAATAAATTTGTGGTTGTACTTGCAAGAGAATAATCTTGTTAGCTATGATAAATTTATGGTTTGATAAATCATCACACGACATTAGATCTATTTTGTAGATGTATATTGTTACAACTAGGACTTGTCCCATATTGGATATAGATGGGAAAGTGAATGAGCATATATGGGTTGGGTGTTAGCCCCACCTAACAACTTAAGTTTTTGGATCGAATCGCAAAACACCCAACCCATTATAGATATCTAGTATAAAAAACTCTAGCTATTTTATCCAAGTTTCCAAACTCTATTTTCAATCATAATATATTGTTCATACCTCAGTGTGGAAAATATATATTTATTAGTATTATTAATTTTTTTTATTTATAATTCATGACTTTTTGATAAAGATGTAAACAATACTTTCACAGAGAATTTCCAAATAACAGAGAAAAATAGCTAGCCCATGTTGTTTTTAGATTGAAAGAATATATCAATGATTAAAATCTCAAGTTTCACTTGATTTGATAAAGTGGACCATTTCATCAATGAACTCAAATTATGTAATGACCTGGTCATTTTCCTTCCTTTCTTTTTCTGATATTGTTCTTTTTTCATCTTTTTCCCGTTTATCGTTTTTTTTTTGCGTAAACTCACTTTTAGTGTTACAATTTGATCCCGATTTTACATGCATTCAAAACATTTAATTTCCTTGAGATACGTATCTTTACTTTTGTAAAAAAACATGCTAGATGTTTACTTTCTTGTAATGGTGTAGATGCATTGTTTCTTCGGAAACATTATTATTTTTGGGGTATTTGTGTAATTATTTTTTCGTAATTATTTTTGTTTGGAAGACCATCTTGTAATTTTATTTGGAAGATATTTTGAAAAAGGACATTTTTGTAATTTTTGGAAAGTGTGACAAGTGTCACACTCTCATTGGTCCACTTATAGGCAATTGTGTGGTAACACTTGGATGCCTTGGATGATGACATGTGGAGGGTGGAGATTCACCCACTTGTTGGCCTAGGATAAGTGCACTTGTTGGCTTGGATTGTTGACAAATGTAGAGCTTGGATTAAGCCTTGAGAGGAGGCTTTGGATGGTGACAAGTGGAGGGCCTTGATTGTGTCTTGCATTAGTGTGTGAGAGAGGTAGTGTTGGTGTGTGTGTTTTTTACCAACAAGTCTTGAGTTAGTGGAGGAATACACAATCCTCCACTATATCATCTTCTTCCTCTCTCTCTAACCCTAGCCACCACCATTGAAGCCACCTTAGACCTAGCCTCCATTGTTGATTTTTGGACCATTTCCCTTCACCTTTTGGCTAAGCTTTTGGAATACAAAAGTTTCCTCACATCCTCCTCTAGAACAACCTTGCTTGGTTTTTTATTTTGCCTTGGTTTGTCTTGGAATCTAGAGATTCAATTCTCTAATGAGGTAGGGGGTTGTTGTATGTTTATACTTTAGGTGTTTTATTGTTTTTGGGGTTTTATATATGTTGAATACATGCTCTTGAATTGTTTAATTGCATATCTAATGAGGTTATATATGCTTGATTTAGGGATTGTATAATTCAAAGCATGTTTAGTTTAAGTATATATTGTGTAGAGATTTGTTGTATATAGTGACTCATTAATTTCTCTAGAATTATCTTGTGATATGATGGATTAATTGTGCTTACCTTGGAGGCTTAATATTACGTTGTTGTATACTTAGTATTTGTAGCTTGTTTAATGGTAACTTGGTGTAGTTGATTTATAGAATACTTATTTTGTTACCTTGGAGGCTTAATACTATGTTGTTGAATATCTAGTATTTGTAGCTTGTGTATGGTAACTTGGATTAATCAAATTTTAGTGTAATTGTACGTGTAACGAATCGCACATTGAAGATTCAACATGGTGTATACCATTGTAAACATGAAATTAGAGTATATTATTGAAGTCTTGGATGAGAATAAGCCTATCAGATTTCACTCCTAGTTCAACATGGAAATGAGTTGTAGATCAATGGTGAATTTGTATAGAATAATGAGAGTATTCAATTGGAACTCTACCCCTATATAAATGGGAGATAATGGTTTGTTCCATTTATCATATGAATTGCAGCAATACAATACACATATCTCTCCTTGTTCCACAATTCTAAAGAAGTTCTGAAGCCCACACTTCTCACTGCTCGGAGATTTTCCAAACTGAAAATAGGAGTGAAGATCCAAAACGTACCATGGGCCGTTGGAGATCAGGGACTGGATTTCATATCTGGCAATCAAATTGATTATCGGTGGCAGGAAATTATTTAATTATTTAACAGGTATGTTAATCAAGCCTTCTATGGTAATCAATGTTTAATCATGATTCGTTAAATCTTATTGAGACGATTTTGTTCCACTCAGAAAATTATTTTTATTAAATTAAAAATTACTTCCACTTTAATATATTATTCTGGGGCTACCCAATACAAAGAAGTTCAATTGAACCTTTAATGCTCACAAGGTGTAAATCAAAACCAATGAGAATATGGGAAAGGCTCAATCCAGAGACCACTTCTTGGACATACAAAAAGTTTTTTGACCAATTAATTGATTATAATCTCCTCTCTTTAAAATTTATATGAACCCTCTATTAAAGAAAACAGTTGTTTGGATATATTAAGTAATTGAGAAAATGCTTAGTTGTTATTTTATTTTTTTGACCGCATGAGAAAGAATAAACCACCAAAAATATCAACAAAAGACATCAATCTGATGTAATAAATAAAAATTTGTTTGGATATATTAAGAAATCCCTAATTTTGAAGCTTTAATGATGAGTTGTAAAGGACTAGCTAGAGAAGCCTCCCTTTAGTTTTGAAGTGACAGAAAAATCTTAATATTTGAGAAATTGGTAAATAGTGACAAAAATAGCACTTGGCTTTTCAAATTCAAAGCTTAATGAATATTTTGTGGAAACATAATTGTCTTGAGTTGATCATAAGCCCCAATTAGAAAGCACTAGACAAAGGTCACAAAGTTTCCTTTCATCTTTGAGTAACAAATACATCTTTGGAAGACGACTCTCATTTTGTTTTTGTCGAACTTAAAGCTACTATTAATGCAATAAATGCTTGACAAGAAAACAAATTTTTAGACTATCAATCTCTGTCTATAATTGGATTATTTTCTATAAAATTTTACGAATTAGAAAATTTATACACCAATTCTGATCTATTGAAAATTAAGACTGACTGTGTGTCACTAACTGGAATAGGGATAATCCTAATAAAGCAATCACAACAGTGATAAGTATTCAGAAGCAGCCCAAAATCTCACGTTGAACTGGAAAAGATATGCCAATACTAATTTGACATTGTGCTTGTTACACAAAACTAGAAGGCTACAATTATATCCATATAGATTATTATTTTGTGCATGTGTGTGATATTTTGATTTTCTTTCTTTTTTAAACAAGCTAAAATTCAATATATACCAGCACTTTAAATACAAAATGAATTTTCCATGCATAATCATATATTACATAATGTCCAACATTAGCCGTGTTTATAGGAACATACATTTTTTTAACAAGTACCGCTACTTAGCCCGACTTCAAAAACATGACATATATATAACCGACTCTATATGTGGATGGCCACGTATGCAAACATCACTGTTCTCAAGTTTTGCATTCTACACCGTCTGATCGACAATGCGACCAACGGTGATAAGAGAGACTCCGGAGATGTGACCAACAGTGATAAGAGAGGGACGGAGATGTTCCAATCAGAAGCAGAGTATTTTGTATCGACGTCAAAGCTCGCCACTAAAGGCATCAAACGAGAGTTAAAAAAATACCTTGGTTTTACAAAAGCACCATGGTCGTTTCATTAATTCTCCGACCATTGGTTATCCAGCAAGATTTGCTGAAGAACTCCTAAAGCTACTCAAAATCTTCTTCTATTAATAGAAGACCAGACAAACAGATTCAATTATCATCTCTTGTTCATAAAATCCTAGATACACACAGATTCAATTATCACACAACACTCATTCTCTCTTCACAAAGCCATAACCCAGTATTCACATTTAAGTTGTCCACCAAATAGCCATAACCATATAAAGGGGTTATGAACATTCTTGTAACGACCCGAACCCGTAGGTCCGAACCGTTAACCGAGTCCTTACTCGAACCCGAGGTCACCTAGGTCAATCCGTCATATCTAGAGTTAATACATCATTTTTAAGTCATGATTGTGCTTCACAAGGCTCCAAACAACTTCCCAAGGCTCTAGATGGATTACACCAGAGAAAGGAGCAAAAACAAACCAAGCCACAGCAGTTCGGTCGACCGAAGTGGGACTTCGGTCGGCTGAAGTGGACACCCCTGTACCGGTCTACCGAAGCATCCATTTCGGTCGGTCGGCTGTGGTTTCAACAATGGATGAGGCTATTGGAAGAATCGGTCGACCGAAACAGCCATTTCGGTCGGCCGAAATGACCTTGCGAAGTGAAGTTCTGCTACTGAAAGTCACAAGTATAAAATGAATAATGGTCCATGAAAAAGTGTTGAAAAACTGATCTAAACTTGTTTTAACACATTATGAAATGATATACTATATCCCATTCTTTTCAAATACAAAATTAACGTAACATTTAAATTGTTCCAAGACCATCTACATGAGTCATGTCTCAGTTACATCAAATTTTATAGTCCTTAAAACAAAACACTAAAGGTTACAATTAAAATGAACTTT